CACTTAACACTGTTGTTAGTAGTGGATATAATATAATAAAAGTAATTAGGTAGGATATGGTAAGATAATGATATATAAAAAAAAAAAGTGCATATCTTATCATACGGTAAAAATATTTATAAAAAAATATTAAATACCATATTAACATTTTCTTAGTTTATATTAATAATGGTGATAGTAATGATAATTATTAAAAATAAGATCCGAGATGGTAGTAAAAATTTTGGCAGTATCGGTAATAATTCTAATTGAGATAATAATAATAACAGTTAACAACAGTAAAGTTGACAACCACGACAAAAGTGACAGTGATAATGATAATAATAATAAAAATAATACTTACAATAGTAACAATTACATCAATAATGATAGTAATAATAATAGCGAGTGCAATATAACTGAAGTGATAATAGTAGTAACGATATTAGAGGATAAAATAATATTATCAGTAGCACTAATAACAACAACAACAACAACAATAATAATAATAAAACTATAATAAGAGTAATAATAATGATAGTTACAACAATTATAATGAGATGCGAAAATATTAACGACGATAACATGTATAGTAATAATAACAACAACGAGACGAGTTAATAATAGCAAATTGATAATAGTATTAGTGATAAGAAGTTATTTATATTGAGTCAAATAAGCATTTGTACATATTTATGAATGTTATATAATACTCGTAACTTTGTAGAAAACAAAATATGAACAATCAGTCTTTATATCAATTTTGTAGTTGTATAAACTATTAAGAATTAAAATAAATTTGTAAGTTAAAATATTAAATTATAGCAAAAAAAATATATTGGAGATCTACTTTTTCATTAATTTGTAAAAGTTGAACACTGGAACAGAAAATAAAATATTTTTTTGAATAAAATTGTGATAGTTTTTAATTACACTTTTTGCATTTTAAAACAATTTTACACCTAAACAAATAAAATAAAATGTAATTTTGATAAAAATAAAAATAAAAATAATTTTTTTTAATAGATTTAAACACAAAATTTATAATTTTTAACTTTTAAAAATAATTTATATTTAAAATTTTAAAAAAAAATTTCATTAAACACTTATAATTTTTTTTTAAACGATAAATTTTGAGTACAATTGTTTATATTAAATACCAAATAATTTTTAAAACTCACAGCACACAACTTATAACCGTTCCAAAAAATCCACTTACACTTACATTTACCATCATAATGGTAAAAACTAAGAATGTTCAAATAAAGTAAATTTAATATATTCAATTCTTATTGTTTATTTTATTTTTTTAATATGTATTTGGTACTTATCTCAATTCAAGTTGAAATGTATTTTTTCAATTAGGAAATTGATAATTGAATCTATACGTATATATGTTAATGGATCAAATATTTGTTTAATTAGTACTTATAATGTTAGTTTATTATGGACCAATTGGCTTTCTAGGACTAACATGTAAATTGAATATCCCAAGCAAAAGGGTATTAACGTAATGGAGAATATTATTAAACATGATTAGATACATCATAATTACAACTTAGAATATATTGACCTAAACAAATCCAAAAAATCCATTCATTTACTAAAAATAATGACTCTATTTATACATAAATATCACTATTATTATTTAGTAGTCACTAATTATTATTTGATTTTGAATGTAACCTTGGATTATTACTCTTTAATTAATACCCCTTTATTTATTTATTTATTTTTCGATATTTAATTAAATGACTAAAAATTACTTCCCTACCCATTGTTGAGGTTAAAAGCAGAGATCAAAATGTACTTATTTTTTAACAGACAGAAGTGATTGGTGAAAAATTCGTCGGTTTATATGTAATTTACTCGATACGTAATATTAAATAAAAAAATATTATTTTAAAAATAAAAGGAAATATAAAATCTTATTAGAAAATAAGAAAAAAAAAACTAAATTATTGATAAGAAGTTATAAATATCGAGATTTACCGTAAAGATGAATAAATACATTTAAATATTGTAATAAGTAGAATTTTACTATTAGATGGCGTAAGGAAGCAAAAATGAGTTTGATTTAATTAAATTAGATAGAAAAGGAAAGTAACGTTTTGTTTTAGGAAAGTAAGAAAGGTGACTGGCAACCAGCAGAGTATATCTTCTCCTTGTGGCAACTCATAATAATTATCAATTAGGTACAACGGATTTTTTGTAATTATTAATATTTTTCTTTTTTTTTTTTTTCTCAAAAGGAGTGTTTATTTATTTAATTTTTTTTTCATACAATTATCATGATAACAAAATGTCTTATTTTTCGTGGTAAAAATTATTTATTTTTTTTTTTTGGGGGGGGTGAAAGTAATTCTAATTTGGAAAGAACGAAGGAAGGTAAATAAATTATACCCAAAAAAGTAAAACTAGTAAAGGTAACTTATATTACTTCATTAAATTATTGTAATAACTTTTTTGAAAAGAAGTCATCGAGAACATACCAAAATCAATTAACTTAATTATATTTTGAATTTTAAATCAAAATTAATGAAATTCAAACGTTAAATTTATAGATGCAAATAGTTAATAGTTCTTATCGGACTAAGCTAATTAAAAAAATGAACACCCCAAACGCGAAGGTTATCTATCCGTAAAGAAATCATTTAATAAATTTTGAATGATATTTAAACCTCTTGAGATTTAAGAAAGTCGTATAAAAAAAATATGCGTAACAAATAAATATCGTAAGAGTCATTATACATTTGTCGTCGAATCAAATTAATTTGATCGGAGAGAGTACAGTCACGATAATAAAACCACCCAAAAGAAATCTGAATTGTGCATTGCGTTTAGATTTGAACATAATATGATTTAACTTAAAAGAGTTGTTTCGGGTCATTGGATCGGATTAGAGAGGTCCATCTGCAGGGGAACACATCACTGTGCATTCTCCATCTTAGCACAAGTTGTTGAATCCTCTAGGAGACGAGTAAAGTGAAAGTTTGTCTCAACAACAAAACCCTTTATTTATTTATCAAGGATATTAGAGCCAATTCCTAATACACTCTCCATATTTTTTGAGGTAGGGATTGTCAAAACATTCGACGTTGTAGAGGGAGATGTTCTTGTCATTCCACACTTTTCAACAAATGTCATTCGGTCGCGATCTTCAATTCTTTACATAATTTTTCTCTGTGTGTCATAGTATTTCCCAAGAACCCACGAAGACGAAAAGACAAAAAAAAAAAAAAAAAAAAAAAAAGTAATTTAATTTTAAATTATTTCAACATTAGAAGTTGCAGATAATAAATTTATACCACGCAGCAGCATCGTAGAAATTTCACCTTGTATAGAGACGAAAATAAAACAGTGCATGTGTTTGGGCACATGGAATGTTTTTTAACTCTTAACCCAATTATGCCTTCTCCAACTTTACTCTTCATTCCCTTGTTAATCATAACCTCTGATGACTCACCCTCCTCATCCTTCTTTGATTTTCTCTTCTCCTCCTAGCAAATTCTTTTTCCTTATTTGTTTCAACTCTCTCTCTCTCTCTCTATATATATATATATATATATATGTATATGTACTATACACATAGGAGCCTCAGATGATATAATTATTTCAAAGATGACAAAAATATTTGACTTGACCCATTATTCGCAAATACAACAAAAAAGTAATCAAAACACATGCAAAAAGATCTAAAATCACATAAATGAAAAAACAAAGACAAAATAAAAGCCATTACTTTTTTCTCTTAATAAAAAGAGAAAGTAATAAATAGGGATTTAAAACAACTGTCACGCACATGGTGGTTGGTTGGAAATGGAAGGAAAGATGAGAGGAAACAAAAAGGAGAGAAACATATGATAGTGTCTATAAAATCTCACCTTGTTTCCTCCTCTGTTTGAAGAACCTGCTCTTATAGTTCTTATCTTCATATGACTTGGCCCACAGGTATACACTGCAAGGCTCATGGACATCTTACTAGATTTCTTTCTTACAATTTCTCCAGAAAAGTATAAAGTTCCACAGGCTTCTAACAGAACAGCCTTCGGTATCAACCCAAACCTAACCCCAGCTAATTAAAAACAGAGAGACTGTTATCAACCCTCTCTGGAAGGGTGAATTTGGTGAGATGAGCCAAAAGCAATGAGGAAAAACAACTTGATTTTAAAAGAAAAAGAAAGAAGAATAATTAAAAACAGTGGAGCAACCTTCTGATTATGGAATACCAAGGAAGATTGAAGAAAACTGATGTATTTGGCAGAACAGAGAAGGTATATAATAACACAAATATCTACAAGTTTAAGTTTTGGTCCAGTTTCAACTGAGAGAAAAAATGTTGTGTCAATCATCATCATATGAGACATGGAAACTAGTGGTGCAACCAGGTGCATCAGGCTCCTCAGCCCCACAGCAGTCATAGAACTTGGCAGCATAAGGTGGATCATCAGGTCCCAATTCGTAGTACCTTCAACATGTCAAAATTAAGAAAATATCAACCATGACTCTCTTTCAGTAAATCATAAAATAACATTTTAAAAACAAACCTACACAAGCATATGGAGATACTAAGGTGTTTTGTAACAGCAATTATCTCTTTCGCTATCTCTGTCTAGCCATTTATGGGCATGCATGTGCATAGTGAGTCACCACTAACCACCATATGGACTCTGTTTGCAGGACCACATGGAGGCATCATGAATCTTCCTAAGTCTACTGAGCTTTCATTTTAATCAAAGACAGGCCCAGTAGCAACGCTCCTGATTGACCACTGTGCATATTCCATTCCTTTAACACCATGCCAAAAACAAATTATATTTTTAGTTAATATAGACGTGAAACAACCTCTATTCTGGCACAGAGTAAAAAAAAAACACAATTCTGACCATTTCTAAAAAGTATGCCTGACCATTTTTTATAAGGGGAGGGGAGAAATAAATCCATGATCTCTTACTGTAAGTCTAGGTGCTTAACCAAAAGAAGCTAAACTTTTTGCCCTAATATCTGATCAACTAACATATGAGTGGATAAAATACTACACCTACATGGGGTATTAACATTAGTCGTAGTTAGCAAATGGTTAGAAAAGAATCCTGTCCCTGCTAGCAGGAGAAAGAAGTAATGGTTGAAACATAATACATGTGCAGCTGGCAACAATAGTCCAATTGGCTGTACAGAAACCATTTTTTTAAATTAAAAGATGAAGAAAAAGGGCAATATTGTCCAAAGGATGCAAAAGTGCTACATCAGAAGGAAACCTACTTACGACCAGTAAACCTTTAAAGTGAGAATAAATTCTGGTTTTCCAACTTTCTAGAGACTTGACTAGCAAGCTAGTTGTCATTGAAAGCTTCCTTGACATCTATAATGATGTGGTCCTTCTTCACAATTTTTTTTTTTGAAATAAAGTCCTCCACAATTTTAGATGTGCTATTGCTCACTTTCCAACTCTCTCTTGGGTGATCCTTCCTCCGATAGACTTATTTCTCAATGATTAGTTTTTCCTATCTTCTAAGGCATTTTCAATTTAACTTCTGTTATTTGTCAAAAGGGTTAGTTTGTGCAATCTGATGACATTGGAATTTAGGACTATAAGATTGTTTACAATAATAAAAATGCACCGTCAAGGACTAAAATAAGATGATAATTATTAATGATGCTGTACACGAGATGGGCAACTTTGATCCACTGCTATTTTGATATTTTCCTCTTCAAACAAAATAATAGTTGTTAGATATTTCTCTGAAAACTACTTACTCATATTCCATGAATCTTCCAAGACCATATGGCCTTGGCGAAACTGAGAACTCACCTAATTCTCCCACATTAACTGAATGACTCTTATCTCCTATGAACTCTCATATTATGCTACCAAATATGTTACCATAAACAGCCCAGGGGATGGATATATGTACTAACTTACCTCATGCTTTATGATCTGATTTCATGAATGGCTCTAACAATGGATGGTCAGTTGACTGGTTAAAGATAAGCAAAACTAACCCCTTTATATATCCAGTAAATACAGGATAAGATAACATGACGTGGTATCATCATAAAATAAAAATAGTTTATCCATATGTATCTTTGTTGAAAAAACTGCAAAAAATTGCATTAGGTGGTGTATCTTTGTTAAAAAAAACTGCAAAAAATTGTATTAGATGGTGCCATAAAATATCACTTTCACCACTGTTGTCACAAATAATCTGATTATGTTCAGTCTGACATCTGCTAATGGTTTTTGGCATGGTACGGTTGTTAGGTCTGGAGGCGAGGGAAAATTGTTATTCCTGTAACGTTGAATTCTGTTTATACTAGCATATTGCTGAAAATTGCAATGTGGAGGGCATAGGAGAATGAATTTGAATCAAAATCCTATTCTCTATTTCAGTTGCTCTCTTTTTCTCCCTCACTTCTCTAAATTTCGTATCCTCTCCCCTTCCTATTCTTTGACTCCCTTTTTCTCTCTCAGTTCTCTCTCTAAACCTTCTTTTCTCTCCTTCTATAACATTGTGCTGTTCAATGAGCTCGTGACACAACATGAAATATGGAGCGCTTAGGTATTATTAGCTTCACTAATCAACTTCAATAATTGTCTACTTTTCCGTCAGAAAAAATATACTTTTGATGCATCAACATCGATTATCCTTCCACCAAAATAAAGTTTTTGGTTGTTTCTTAGAGAGTGCTCAGTTTTAACTTATATTTTGGCGGGAGCTTATAAACATTTCAGAAGCATTTAACACTAGGTGATATATTTGATATTGATGAAGAATTTATTAACTAAGTAGCTCACACAACACTTGCAATAACCTTTGGATAGTTGTGAGCTCTTTAGTTTTCTCTCATGTTTAAGTATTTAAAATTTTGAAACAATTTGATAACTCTTTCAGTTTTTCTTGAATTAAGTACTATATCTTAACAAACAACTTAAGTTTAAGCTAACTAAAAGTGTGAGCTTCCTCACTAAGACAGTGGATCAAGCTCAGTGTGACCTTTAAGGTGAAAACCAGATGGAAAGAGAGGAAGAAAGCACAAACAAGAAAAAGGCAGAACCAAAACAAGAAGAGAACGGAGAGAGAAACCCTTATAAGATTTTGGTTTCCTTTTGGCTTAAATCTCTTCTCTCTCCGAATGAGAAAGCGAAGGTTATTATTCTTGACCCAAAGAATACCTATACATAGATATATACATACATGCACACTGAATTAGAATATACTGAGTTAATCGTTATTTTGTAATTTGTTGTAAATAGAAGGGTTGTTGTGTTATTTTATTAAAGTTGCGGGGTTATTTGTAAATATTCATTTAATACACAGAAATCACATTATGCATTTATCCAGAATCTTTGACATTTTTCTCCTGTTTTCTCTCTCTCTCAGTTTCACAAGTTGCTTTCTAGATTCAGCTTAATATTCACTGATTTCATTTCAGTTTAGCATCATTAACACTTGTTGATGCATGCTACCTCGTGTTATGGCATCAGAGCTATGAAGGAGGAGTCAGCACATCTGATAAACAGAGAAGAATCAGAATGTGCTTGAAATTCCACTGTCTACTTGCCTGCTTCAGCCCATATAAACTCTTCTTAAGCTTACAGACCTAATTCTTATGAGTTGATTTAAACCCGGGTGAAAAAGTCATATAAACCTCCTCAAACAAGTTATCATGGAGGAAAGCATTATTGATATCTAACGGGTGTAACAGCCATCCTTTAGCGGTAGCAACAGTCAATAAAGTATGATTAGTAGTTACCTTAGCAACAGGAGAGAAAGTGTCCGAATAATCTATACCGGACTGTTGGATGTAGCCCTTGGTCACCAAACAGGCTTTACATCGTTCAATAGACTCATCAGCCTTTCTCTTCATTTCAAAAACTCACTTACACCCAATAGGCTGTTTGTTAGGAAGCAAGGTGACCAAATCCCATGTTTGATTTTCTACCAGTGCATTAATCTCAGTCTGCATTGTCTCTCTCCAACAAAGAAAAGCAATAGTTTGGTTGTATGATTTTGGTCCTTGATCTTGGGCTAAGGCAAAGATAAAAGCTTGATGTTTGTGTGGAATATGGTCATAGAACAAAACATAGGAAAGGCAATGAGGTGAAGATATTGTGATATTGATTCTAGAGTTCAGACCATGCATATGAATTCTCTAAGATGAGCTGGTGGTTGCTTTACTGGCTTAGTTGATCTTCTAAGTATCAAATCAGGTTGAGATTTAATAGGGACTGAATGGAATGGAATGGAAAGACATGTCCAACAAAATTGATGTTTCTGGATACAAATGCTTTGTGAGAGTGAAGATCATAGACTCGATACCCTATAATGTGATAAGGGTAACCAAGAAAGACACATTTAGTAGCACGAGAGGCAAGATTTGAACGGTTGGAATCCAAAGTGGAAACATAGCATAAATAACCAAACACTTTAAGATCATGATAGATAGGAACAATATGGAACAAAAAGTTCATAGAGAGTTTGATTGTTGATGACCGGAGAAGGTATACGGTTAATGAGATATACCACATGTAACACACAATCTACCCAAAATATGATGGGTAAATTGGCTCGAAACCTCAACGACGTGCCACATTCAAGACATGTTGATGTTTTCTTTCCACCACACTGCTCTGGGTCCTAGATTTAGGTCTCCATCCCATTTAACCCAGCTTCTTCTTGGGTTGGTTAGACCGTATTTTGACAAAAATATGTAAACCTTACAGCTTATAAGTCTTGGTTTTTAAGCTAAGCCAAAGACTTCCTCCAGTAAATTAAATTGATGTCACTAAAACCGAGTGGAATATACATAACGAGTAAGATCATATGATCCTTCATATTTCACGCAAACGGCATAGCACAAAAACAAGTTAAACTGAGAAAGAAAAAACAAGAACAACGGATGAAGTTTTACGATGTGAAATCTGCGCGTTACAAAGCGAAAGCGGGAGATAAGTTTAGCAATCGTATCTAAACGTAAATTTCATAACAAACGATCGACCTACGAGTGATTTAATTTGAAAAATAAACAATCCAAAATTAACACCAGACTTAATTCAAATTGCAGAAATAGGTTAGCAAAATCTTTGTCACTGAATATATAAATAGAGAGAGAGAGAGAGAGAGAGAGAGAGATACCGTTTTTGGTCATCATGTCGTCGACAGACGAAGAAGGGAAGGATGAAAGCGGCAAGAAGAAGAGGCATTAGAGGAGGAAGTGTATGTATTCTTGCACACCTTGCACACCTTCTGGCTCTCCTCTTTCCCATTTTCCTTGACTTTCTCTTTCTCCATTTCTGTGTCTGTGGCTCTGCTTCCACTGCCAGTTTTTCGAGACTCAGCACATAGACCAACTCAGTGAATTTATTGTGTGTAAAAATTTGAAGTTTAATAAAAATAAAAAAAATATTTTAAGATTTACTGAAGTCGATGGAATTTGAGAATAAATTCAGTTTATTTATTTAATTTCACCCTAATTTGAAAATCGGATGTAATTTCTTTTAAATCATTGTTCATAAAACCATAAACATACCATGCTACCCCCAATATCTAGAGCGAACCATAACCTCCTACTCTCATTTTTTATTCCCCCCTAATTACTGAATAAGCCATATACTAACCTTAATTTCATCTAATAAAAAAGATTAAAAGAAAATGTACATTAAAACACTTTTCACTTTTAATTTTTAAATATGTATGTATATATATATATATTTACATAAATTAGCCAATAATGGAAAAACAATAGTGAAAAGAGAATAGAATTAAAATTTTAAATTACTATTTCTAATATTTTTTTAAAAAAAATTGTTTTATTTGTGCTTTAATTATTAGATAAATATATAACGATTACGTACGTGTATGAATAAAGACATTCATAAATACTTATAAGTTTATGATATAAAAAATTAAAAGAATATTTTTTATGAACTTAGACCTGCTAAGAAGATAACAAAAACAAAAGGAATGTGATACAAACGCTTTATTTCTAAGCCAGAATAAAAAGCCAGGATATGTGATACAAACACGTTATTCCAACACCTCAAGGAGCAGAATCAAAATTCAGCAACTCAGTAATAAACAAATTAATTCTAAACAAATTTTTCACCCTCCAATTGTGCGTTAGCAAAACAAGAGCAGCCCTGATCGGAAAGTTCCTCAGGCAACAATTAATAAATAAACCGATCTACTCGGAAGGAGGAGGAGCGTACTTTATTCTCCTGTAGTAGAATAGCACAGAAGCATACACCTACACATCTCATGGAGATTTCCCAACCAAAAAAAAAAAAAAAAAAGCATCAAGCTTGCAAAAAGCTTGCATACTTGGAACCCAGGAAAAGCCTCTGGATGCATAGTAGGGCATTTTTAGTGACTTCAGCATTCTCGTGGTTCATTAATTTCATTGCTCGTTCTTTTGCTTTGAGGTCTGTGACTATGATCCGTCCAGCCGGATGATACTGGATAAACTGTGACAGATCATAGCAGGCAACTGCCAAAGATCTCGGGTCATTAGAAGTGTCCAGAATTGTAATCAGGACCCTTAGAATCTGCAGCACAAAACAAAAAATTAGCATGATCCACAAGAATTGTTAAACTAAAGATATGGGATTTTGATTAAGAGAGCTGCATAAAACGAACAAATTGCAAAACACAATGTTCAAGTAAATAACCTGGAAGTCATTCTCTTCAAAGCTTGTAATATTATCACGCCAAAATAGAGGGTCTTTGTGCACTGGAGTCCAATCAAGATGGCCCAGAAGAACTTCTTGCTTATACTTATCAAAGGAACTCAACTTCTTAATGTTATCCTTCAGACCTTCTTCCAGCTGATTCAGGGCCTCCAGCAGGTCCTATGAGATACCACAGATCTGTTAGTTACAACAGTACAAAAGAAAACCAATAACCTCTTGCTTATTTAAGGCGAAGCCATACGCAATGGAACTGAATTAAAGCTATGCAAACATGGCACCCTAATTAACAACTTTATATATATTGAGTTTATAACAGCCACCACCAATACAAGCCCATAACTATGACTAGTTCATCATTTCTTGCCTATTCCCCCACAACCACATGCTCACATGCACATTGAAATGCACAGAAAGAGAGAAAGAAGACCAAAACAGTCACAATAAAAGAATCATTTAGAAAGCAATTGCAAGGTTAACGTAGAAATGTGTTCATCTATGGAGGAAGATTGAAACAAGATGTTGCATTGCATAGAAATAAGGTAAACCAAAATGAAAGATGGAAATGCAGCAAAATCAAATCGTTTGATAAATGGTAATAAATGTGAATAAAGTCTTCACAGCCAGGAGTACTTCAGTGTCTGTCGAGGTGCAAAGAGAAGACAACCAAGAAAATGCACATCTAATGAAAGAAAGAAATCAAAATTCATATTTTCAATATAAAACTGCTAGTTTTTCTACTAGGCCTATATTTTCTAGATGTCTAGCTTGCTGACACGAATTAAAATAAGTTCTAAAGAACATATCCCTAAAAGGCACCCAAGGGATATAAAATAAAAAATCCTCCATTTGATCCGGTCTGCCAATGAATAGTTACACACTATATGCTAAGCATTGAAACCTCTCCATCTCTTACCTCGTCACTCCATGCTTGTGTTTTCAAACTTTGGACAATTTGTGGCAGGCTAAGATCTACCATCTGAGCACCAAATGTACCTTTTGGAAGCAAGTTCCTAAGAGTCAAGACAATCACCCTGACAACCTGAGATACAAATAATTACCAAATAAATTATCCTTCAAATATTTATTTTTAGAAAAGAAAAGAACCGTGTGCTCAAAAATGACGTCTGCTTTTGCAGTGGAAGGTGTGAAGGATACAGGCAGCAAGGGGCCCAAATCAAATTATATAACTAACCTTCCAAGTATATACTGTAATAAAAGATAAATCAAAATTATATGAAAAGAACACCCAGCAGACCTAGAAGCAAGACCTTACCTTCTCTTTTGTGGAACTTTTTACGACTTCTACTAACCGCTGCAGTGCTCTAGAAGTTGCCAAAAATTCAATAGCTGGTTCATAGTAAGATAGAAGCCAGATGCAGAGACATGTTTCGTAAAGAAGCTGTTGAAAAGAAATAAGACATCAATATCAGAATTACATACTTCAATCACAGTGTACTAGAAAAGAATCTAGGAGAAAAGCATGAAAAGTAACAATTAAGTCCAATCGTCACTTGTTTGAAGCCAGGGAAGGATGAGAACAAAGAAAAGTCTCCAGCAAATTAACAGTTAGTTGCAGAAGATTTTGGAGTGTTACACAATCGGAGGCAAAAAAAGTTGCAATGCCACTATTTCTCTCCAAAGGTCACCACTACATGTGGACAATTTCAGAATATGTTCTGAGAGAAACTATCAATTTACTTCTTTCTCTTATCCAGACGAGAAATTAGCGAAATTCTCTCTACTTCTCTCCTCCCAAATACACTTGAGTAAATAAAAAAAATAAACCAATTCATGTACTCTATGTGAAAGAACAAAGATAATTTCCAGCTAAAAAACAAATTAGAGGACAAATGAATTAAATGCCAATACAAACTGCCTGGTAATAGGACATAACTTCACCAGCTTGGCTATAGATGGAAGAGTCATTTACCTGGATGGACTGTTGAGTGGATGCAGGAGAAATTAAAGGGATTAGCAACTTCACACCATCTGCCCGAACAAAAGAAGATCTGACCACAGGTTCCTTCAGCAATGCAGCCAAGCAATTGACAGCAGTTGGAACGCCACGAGTTGGATGAGAAGGGTTCTTCAGCTGTATGTAACAATTGGCATCAAGACTACAATGTCATCGTGAGCAAAGTTGAACTAACGTAGGTTGCATTAAAGCAAAGGCATAACATGCAAATCACTTGTAGGTATAAGAGAATTAGACAATCTAACTTGCAACATCATGATTCTTCAAAATTCTTTCCAAATGATCAAGCAAAAATAACTTTGTACTGACAAAATGAAATTGTACCACATCAACTACTTTTTAAAGAATTGACAAGGTTGTTCTGCTCGTGGAAGACAAATTTGGCAACCTATCCAGTTAGAAATTATAAAACAGTTTTGGATTCTTAACAGGACCCATGAAGAGTACCAAAAACCTAGTTATGACACCTAAGATATCTTAGATTTTCACCCTAAGAATATTGCTCCACACAACCACAAAGAGTAGTAACTGCTTGGAAAACTCACTTGAGTAATAAAATTACATATTGAAGGAGATATTACAAGAGTATTTATACTCCAACAAAACCCTACTTCAACAAGGACTTGAAACCTGATATGAAACCTAAAAAATTTAAATACTAACTCCAGCAAACCAAATAAAATCCTGGTATTGGCAATGTTACCTGAGTCTGAAATTCATTATTCCATATAAGAAAACAAAAATACATCTCCATATACCAGATACACAGTAATGAATTTGTCATCTCCAGAATTGTAAGATTCCCAAGGCATATAAGTCAACTGCAGTGGCACCATCAGTGCAAAATTTGTTCTTAATGCAATTAGTGCAGAACATTCATGCAGAAGTCAAATAAGTGTTCACTACATTTTCCAGGTTCCTGAAGCATTCCAGTGCTGAAAATTTACATCAAAAGATGCACAAACAACTCTTTTGACACATCAATCCAATAACCCCTCATCAAGTGGGGTATGACATCACCTTACATTAAAATATGAATATTAACATCAGAACAAACTCTGAAAAAATCCAAAAAGGGAAAGCCTTCCTTATTAACTTAAATCCCAAAATGCAAACATCACAACCATTCATGCAAGGAACAAATATGCCATGTATGTACTGTAGCAACAGCCAGCTAATCACAATTGTAGCAGCTTTGCAAAAAATGATTTAGAGCAGAAAAAGAGAGAGAGAGAGATTCTAGCCCTTTCCAGAGCTTCAGCCAAAGGTAAGAAGCTTTCACCTCCTTTGGCACCTTGGACCACATAGTGCAATGCACCAAAGACAATGATTGCACAATGCATGGAGCCTCACAACTATCTAGATGATCAATTTTTTAACTACAAAGAAACAAGGTGTGATCTGAATATATAAGATAATTAATCAATTTATATCAACCTGTGCACAAAGCCATTCCACCAACCCTTTCAGTACATCACCAATGCATGTAATATTTTTCTTTGAATTTGAGGCTTCTCCATTTGCGATAACACCATCCAGAGCTCTTGGCCTAGCACTATGATTAGAGGGAGAGAGAGAGAGAGAGAACTGTCAGTAGAAGAACATACGATAAGCCATTTAATTAGCTTATTGAGAACTTGGACTTCACAACCAGCTCAATAATAATGTAACTACCTTACTATAAGAGAAAGTATCTTGCAGCTCTTTTCCTGTATGAACCAGTTACCCTTCCAGAGCAATCTGACATTGGACCAAATTTTTTCAATTTTATAATTCGAGAAACATAAAATAACCAATATTTTCACATTGTTACACTATCCCATACAAAGCAGTAAAGAAGTCCTATCCACATAGCAAAACTTGAAGTATAATTAACTAATTCTCTAGAATGTAAAATAGTGGACTCCCTCATTATTGAGAAAACAAGGTTGTTTTTTTTTTTAAAATAAAAAGTATAGTATATATTAACAAGGCACCAAAACTAGGGGGTACCACCCATTCACTAGTATGCATTATGTTCCATCACATTCACTTTACTGCTAAGATGGTTGTAGTAAGACTTGACTGAGATATTGCCAGTTTTTTCAAATTTCCATACAATCTGGTTGACTTTGTTGTCAACCACCTGCCCGGCCAGCATCTTCATCAAATCCTCATATTCAGCAACCTCCCAATCATTCAAATTCCGAATGACATTAATAGACCATAGAATCTTGTTATTGACAGCTCGGTAAGCTTCCTCGACAGTCATCTCCTTAGATTGTGCAATATTGAGAAAACAAGGTTGTTACCCTCAAAGATTTGAAAAGATGGGTATTATAGTTTCGATCTACTCCAATAAGTTCGAGTATTGATTACAAACAAACCACCCAGGTGGGTTTGGCAATAAGAAATCAATCCAGATGAGGAACAAAATGACCATGAGTTGACACTAGATAAATATGTAAATAAACATTTTCTTATTCATACTATGGTAGCTTTATTTCCTGAAAGAACCCAATAGAGAAGTTTTCCATGACATTAAGGATTTTAATATCTCTAAAAGAGATGTACAAATGAAACACTGGTTAGTTAACGATCTGCTCCAGTGACACGTGATGAGGCACAAATCATAAAACATAATGCAACACTTTAAAGTTTATGCATTCCAACTTACCTCAAGAAAGGTTCATAAGTATCTTCATTTGCAAGAGACTTGTCATGGAACAATCTGGCTCTCTTCGGATTTGCTGCCAACGGAAGCGAACAATCAGTTATTTCTGTGATGCACACGCCACTATAAAGCACAAATTCTTTCAATTACCTGTAAGCATTTCATCCATCAAAGCCAAAACATATTCTACTGTTTCTTCCTTAAATATATCCCTCAAGATGCTAACAAACACTTTAACATAAGCTGGGCCATCCTGAAATAGTCAATTTCACACACCAGTGAACGCAGCAGATATGCACCAAAGATGGCAGGGCCAAACTCCTTGAATGGAGTAATAGACTAGTGGGTGTATAGAGCACTAAACAAAATACAAGTGAAAGTCATAAAGTTTTTAATACTTCAACAATTGGTATATTAACACCCAAGTGATTTGTTTTAATGAAAGAACTGATAAAAAAATTACATCATCCAGCAACTGGGCCCGGTAGCTTTCAGATCTGTTATCATAACGCCTTAATAGCTGAAGGCCAGTTCCAGAAATTAGTTTAGTTGTCATGTACGTCTCCCATGGAATGTCCCTCTTCAAGACCTAGCAAAGAGAGTTCCTTCTTAGAAATAGCAAAAATCAATAGTAACCATTTACCAAACAATTAGGGCAATCATAATGCTATGACAATCCGCAAACTGCAATAGCAGCCTAACAACCCTCAATAGTCAAGCAAATATGTCAAAGCATGTTATGACATTGGAAACAGATTGTTTCTGGATAAAAACTTCAGAAATGGAAATAGTTTAAAGGGAGCTAGACAAGGCATAATGACAGATAGACAAGGTAAAGGATTATAAGAAACAATCTGTTTCCAATGTCATTAGACAATGCATAATGACAGAAAGACAAGGTAAAGGATTATCAGATTTTGATTTCATATCATAAAGGATTCAAGAAACTTGTATTGAGCAGTTAAGGCTGAGTGTTCAG